GCGGCGGCGGAGAGGGGGTGAGGCGCCTGCCACGCCGATTCTACTGGCCGGGGTGTCGTCAGGAAGCCGAGCTGCATGTCCACTGCTGCTACACCTGCACGGCGTAGAAGGGACCCACCCGGCGCTCTCAAGCCCCGCTGCAGCAGTATCTGGTGTGGGCCCCCATGGAGCGGGTAGGGGTGGATATCCTGGGGCCTTCCCCTACCACAGAGACCGGCAACCGCTATGCCCTGGTGGCCATGGATTATTTTACAAAATGGCCCGAGGCTTACGCGGTGCCGGATCAGAGCGCAGCTACTTCTGCCCGCTGCTTGGTGGAGGAGATGTTTGCTTGGTTTGGGGTCCCGGAGGAACTGCATAGTGACCAGGGGCGAAACTTTGAAAGCTGTTTATTCGGCGAGGTGTGTTAGGGGCTGGGGGTGAAAAAGACATGGACAACGCCGCTGCACCCCAGAGCGATGGATTGGTGGAATGCTTTAATCGTAACCTGGCCCCCCAGCTCGTGAGCCCGAGATCCCTGGGGGACCAGAGCTGGATTACTTCCAGCGGCTGAGGGAGCGCTTGGGCTCGGTCCACCAGCTGGCCAGGGAGGCTCTGGTGGACGCTGGGGCCAGACAAAAAAGGGCTTATGATGTGAAGGCCCATGGACCTGTGTTGAGGCCTGGGGACAAGGTGTGGGTCTACTGACCCCAGAGGAAGCGGGGACAGTCACCCAAACTGGCCCAGCACTGGCAGGGCCCCAGTGAGGTTTTGGATCAACTGTGTGATGTTGTTTTCCGGGTCCAGATGCCAGGACGGGGTCGGCGTGTGGTGTTACACAAGGACAGACTGGCACCATACCACCCGCTGGCTCCTGGACTAGAGACTGAACCGGACCCGGAGGACAGCCCCCCCTCTCCTCTCCAGGTACTCTGGAGGTACAGGGGGCAGGTCCGATGGTGGGGATGGGATCACCCGACGTCCAGGACGTGTACGCCGGGTCCCAGAACATTTAAGGGACTTTGTGTTAGACGGTTGAGGGTTGTGGGGGCACTAACCCTCTCAGGTGGGGGCTATGTGGTGGCCCTGACCAGCCACTTATGTTTATGTTCTGTTCTGTGTTAAGTGGGTGGGTGCAGCTGTAATGTTCGAATAATGTGCTTGTATTGGTTACCACTGTTTTCTGCGAAAAGACGCGCTGTTCTGGCCAATGTGGGATTGAGGGAGGAACGGGCGCGGGAGGGGATATGAGGGATAATGTTCTGTTTTGTTACTTTTTCCAGTGTGTACATAGTGCTGCGTTTTGCAACCCTTTTCTTTCTTGTTTTTGTACGCCTGAATAAAGCCAAGAAAAGACAGAGACGGTGTTCTCCTCCTTGTCAGTCTAGGTGCCAGCACACAGCTGGATAGTTAGATGTCCCAGTAAAGGATAGGGCCAGACCAGCTCCACTCATCTGAACCAGTGGAGCGCCACAGTATGTATTTGTTTGTTGGCAAGAAACTAAGTATGTTGCTTTTAGTGAGTTACACTGTGACATGCAAAATGAGCCCCGTTTTAACCCTATATTTGTTTATATTCAGGCAAATTAACTGCACGGAAGTCTCTGTTAGCACTTCATGTTTGCTACGTACCACTGAATGCAATGTCAACTATCAGTGAATTAGTTTGATACTGAAAAAAACTTAGAAATGTGAACATCTTCAGGCAAAATCTGGCGTTAGGAATGTCTTCTACAATTTCTAAGTGGGTTTATTTGCAGTGGACATCAGAGATGACTAAAGCTAGCGAGATCCTCGGAAAGTGTAAGTAACTGAATCTAAAATGTGTATCAAGGCTGTGTTCCGATTTGACTGAATTGACTGACTAAAGGGTTTAAACTGGTCTATATTAATTAATAATGTTGATAAGCAGCCCACAATAACCAACTCCCTGTTGTTTTACAACACTTGGAGTTATGCACATATCGCATATACAGACATCTGTAAAATGTCGAGTTATATTTTGTGAATGTGAATTTGACTCTGTTTAAAATGTTTTTGGTACAAAATGTGAGTATTCGAGATTGATAGGCCTGTTTGATAACTGGTTACACAAAACGTTTAGCTTATTCAGCTGGTTTGGTTTGCACATCAGTTTATGTTTTGATGCCATTTGAGACTAACTAGTGATGTAAAACATGAGTAAAGTACCTCCGAGGAATAAGGGTGGAGTGGGTGGGTACTGTAGGTGGAGCAAAGTGTACTCAAGGTTTCTGCAGTGATCACTAAATAAATGTTTATTTAAGACCCTTTCATGCAATTTAATAGGTTGACAGTCACTCAAAGATTGATGGGACAACTAAGTACAAAAACAACAAGGTCTTTAATTGTTAATTAAATATATTTGTTTTAGTAATATAATTCATAATGTGACCAGGTTCCAATGAGTGACAAAAAATGATTAACACAAAAAATAACATACAATACATTAATGTTTTGCTAGAATTAGAATTATCCATTATGAGTTGGTTATCTCCCTAGCTACTGTTACTCGTAATAAATATAAATGATAATGCCACGAAATAAATAAAACTCCTGCATAACAGTCCATGCAGTCTGGTATCTTCTGGTAACCATGCACACAGAAAACCTATTCTAACCATTGTTACAGCAGCATGCAAGAGAAGTCATTCAACATCAGTGTAAATGGATTGTCTTCTTTATCACATAAGATCTTTCTTTGAAGAAAGTGAATTTTTAATGAGGCAGAAAAATATAAACAACCACACCACGTGGCCCTGACTCAGTTGGTGTTCATAAAATAAGTTTTTTCTCCTTATGAGACGAATCTGATCATAGACACCACAGTTTTAGTTCCAATTGAACTTGGTTTGACATTAATTAGGCCTAAACAATAAAATAACTCGGAGTATCTTAATAAAAGCATAGCCTAGATATTTCAGATTCTATTTAATTATTTTACTCTTATTTAAATTTATTTGTGTGTATGTGTCCAATGTATTTATTTCTTCATGAAAAATGCTGGTCTGGAAAAGGTTCCAGCCGAAACCTTTTTGGTTGAACACTAATTAAACAGACACTGGTGTAATAGATTACTTGAAGCACCCAGTCTACCCATCTCTGTGCTCGGTTAGCGGTGCGCGCTGCCGCTGCGCACAGTGAACGCGCCTCTCCATGCGGTTTGAATAAAGAAGGTAAAACAGAAAAAGAAATCAGCGGATGATGGAAAGACATGAATCTGATATTGAAACGGGGTAGCAGTGACCGGTCTTATCCTCTCATCTGAACCCGGTCAAAGTGTCCGGAGGGTCCGGTTCTCCGCCCTGCTCCTCCGCTCTTTGTCAACCGGTTTACACACGGAAACCCGGGCGGGTTTGTGGGTTTTGTGAATGAAGACGGTCTACCGGAGAGACACTCGTTAGTTTTAATTGGCGAATCATCCGGGGCGTTGTTGTTTTTAGGGTTTTCCGTGGAATCGGGTCGGATTCTGTTTCCTATAGGATTTTAGCACATTTTGTTTTAAGGGGAAGCCTTGATGCTGTTCAGTCTGATCCAGTCTTTAATTATCGGCTTTATCTTCCTATAATTCTTAACGGGACTGTGGGAGTGTGCACGCAACGCTGAGAGTAACCGACCTTTGCATGGTGGATTTTTAAGTCATTATTTTATCTTTGATTGTTTCTGACTCTGCTTCGCCTGGCTGCCTCTGTCCTTTGTGTGGACTCGGGCTGTCAGTCCTGGACTCGGTTAAACTGTCCCAGTTGGTCCCCGTTTGAAGAGCACCATGCCAGAGTGTGTGTCGGTGTCAGAGTTTGTGCAGGAGGTTCAGGAGGACTGGAGCTCCCCCACCACTTCCTCCTTCACCTCCAAGATGATCAGCTGCAAGAACACGGTCTACCTGCTGGAGGAGGTCAGTGCTGACAGAGGAGGAGGGCAGGCCAGTAGTAGTAGCAGCCCAGTCCAAATGAAATTCTCCTCATGTGTAGTCGCTCACCCACCAGGCTTGATCAGCTCAGACTTGTGTTCTACCTGATCAATGAGCTTCTTTCTCTTTTACCCTGCTGGATTTCAAACCAGGCTCCTGTCTAGGGGCCCCCAAAGCCCCATGTTCATATCATTTGGTTCTACATCGTGTGATAAATCACAAATTAGTTACAAAACTGCACCACTCACCCCTATAAAGACCTAACCTGTTTTAGTTTACATTGCGGCTGTTTGTTAAAAAGTGTTTTAACAAATTGCTTCAGTTTTCCTGTGTATCAAATAATTAACACAGAGAAAACCTCAGGTGAAATACCAATTCATCTTCAGGACTCTAAGGCTGCAACCAACAGTTATGTTCACTTTCAATAGGCCTGACAGTTATCTTCTGTAACAATCACTGTGTTTCTGTACAACCTTAAAATGTTGTACAGCACTTGAGTAAATATACTCGTATGGTTAAAGTGCTTTATTAATCCCCAAAGGGAAATTCTGGGGTTACAGTAGTAAAACAAGGAGGTTTTACAAAGTAGGTTTAATGCTAAGTAGACTATAATAAACAGAATAAAATAAAGATTAAAGTAGAAAAGACACCAATATATACTGTTAGATTCCTGATAACATACTTCATCATGTTCAGAACTCATAAAAATCCAATAATTCCAATAAATCACTGATGCTGATCAATATGTACCTTTGCCAACTGTAGCCTCAATCTCAAGAGAGATTGAGCTGCAAAATCTCTGAGGATGTCTGATATTTAGCCTAGCCCCATTTATGTAAATGGTGGACAAAATAATAGAAATTCCTCTGTTTAATTCAGCAACCTCCAAAATCATCCTCCAGTCAAATCAACACATCTCTGAACATGATCACCTCCATGAAAGATGATTTATTGCAGCACTGTTTTATTAGACTGCATTAGTTTTAGCTAGGTGTTCCTAATAAACTACCAGCTGAGTGTTAATTGTCATGTTGTTGGCCCTGTGTTGTTTAAACCATCTGACTTAAGTTGCTTCATGTGGCGATTTAGCCTATAGAGAACCAGGGTTACACACAGGGGTGTACAGTAGCTGTCTGTCGTGTGTGTGTGTTGAGTCAGCAGGTGGTTACTGCTACCCCCAACCCCTACATGAACACACACACTTTCAGCAGATTCAAACTGGTAATTAAAACACGATTGAGGTTGGACTGTGTGAACTGTTTAAAATGTCTGTGTCTTATGTGTGTGTTCAGGCTCTAGACAGTGATCGGCTGGTGCTGCAGAAGATGAAGAAAGCTGCCAAAGCCAAATACACATCAGGACAAGGTACACACAAACATATAAAACAAAAACACACACTCTGCTCCCTGTACTAACACCACTTCTCTCTCAGACCACGTGTCCCACTTGGAGCAGTATATTAATTCAATGGAGAAGTTGTCGGTCAACTGTCACTCAAATGGAGAAACGGAGGTCGGTTCTGCATTCTATCGCCTGGCGGACTTTTCTAAAGAGCTCGTCTCTCCTATGAAAAAACTGGTGAGTCAGCTGTACAACACCACACAGGTCAAAGGTTGCAACACCTGTACCTGATGACAGTTGCTGCCTCCATTTAGCCTGAAGCAGGTTTGGAGCATTGGTTAGGAAAACTTAAATAAATACCTCTTGGGTTTTCACTGGTCCCTTGGAGAAATCCAATTTGCACCCCATGATTGGTGCATATCCGGTTCATAATGTCTATCTAATAAAAGCGATCCAATCAAGCTAGATAACCTAGTCCATACAAACATTTTAGAGAAATCCTCTAACTAAAAACTTCTAGGCACTTAACTAGTCACTCCAGTATTCAGTGGGCCACACGTCTGAATAAAACCAACAGGATCTTAGTGGTGCATTCAGCACATTCACTGGGAAACCGTTGGCCTGGTCTGTTCCAAACTTGAGCTGATAAATCCTTTAATTAAAAGCATAGATGTCCTTTAATTAGTCCACTCTGAAGTCCACCGGAAAAATATAATCATAAGGATAATCACCTTTATTTGGCCAAGTACGTTACACACACTGAATTTGTCTCCAGTACAGAACCAAAGCAGCCATCTGCGATGGTAATTCACATCGATGGCTCTAACCATCGGGGGCAACTTGAGGGTTCAGTGTGTTGCCCAAGGACACTTCGACATGTGGACTGCAGGCACCAAGATTTGAACCTCCGACCCTCTGGTTGGGAGACGACTGCTCTACCCACTGAAGCACAGTGGCGACTTAGCCACTGAAAACCAGCTGGCTTTAAAGGGGTTCATACCAAACTCAGATCTCAGTTAACTAGTTCATTCAAAACTATAGTTAAAAAAAAAAACCATTTTAAAAACCTGCTTACAAAGCAGCTGGGTCTTAATCGGTCTATTACAAACCCCAAACGCTCTGATCAAAAACCAGTTGTCTGTTATTACATTCATCCCAAACTCCAGTGGAACATACTCTTATTAAAAACATTATTTCACTTAATTTCCATTCCAAACTTCACTGGAAAGACCTGTGATTAAAACCTAGTGTGTTCAAAATATCCAGTGGGGAAACAGTTGGTTGCTTCATTGTTTTTTCACAAACTGTTAAATCGTCTTATTAAAAAAACATGGTTGCATTTTAACCAGTCCACTTCAAACTCCTTTGGGAAACCCAGTCATTTTAAAAAGAAATGATTGGTTTAAAACTGGTTCATTTCAAACTCTAGTGAGAAAACCTATAATAAAAAAACAAAACAATTTGGCATTAAATTTATTCATTCTGAACTCCACTGAAAATACCTCTAATTAAAAACCATGATTGAGGTTAATTGGGTTAAGTGTAAAAAACTCTGATTACGTACCAAATGAGTCTAAACCAGTCTCTTCCACATGGCTGATTGAGAAACCAATCAAAAACATCTGACTACATGTCCATTACAGACTCGATTGAAAAATTATACTTGATAACACTAATGCTTTAAAAGTTACATTAATTGTATTTTGAAGCAGATGTGTGACACCATGATGCTTTATTAGTCAGTATTCTGCACTATAGATGATGTGTGTGTGTGTGTGTGTGTGTGTGTGTGTGTGTGTGTGTGTGTGTGTGTGCGTGCGCAGTTAAAGAGCATGCTCCACAACATCAACTTCTTCCTGGACACTCTGGTTAAAGGAGACCTGAGGGAGGTGAAGGGGGTGAGGACTTGATCTTTATTAGCTGGTTTCATATCACCTGGATGATTCATATAAACTGTGATGGTGACAGACCTCAGGTCAGATGAACCGATGAACCTTTTCACCCCAGTTCAATAATTAAACAGTTGACAATCTTATCAATACAGCGGATCTAAAATCCTGTCGGTCTCTCTGTCTTTCTCTCTGCAGGATCTGAAGAAGCCTTTTGACAGGGCATGGCGAGACTATGAGAGCAGATTGTGAGTGATGGTCACACAGAATTCCTTCTCACTGAAACTACACTGAGAGTGTTTACATGCACAAACAAGTACTCTTATTATCAGGTTTTTGGAGTATACTGGCGATGTGTTTGTGCATGTAGAAATCATCAGCATGCTTTCACAATCCTGCTGGCTG